GGAAACCTCGTTGACTTTAAATTGTGGACTAATTTGTATATATTGTAAATTTATATTAATACAACTCACCAATTTTTGCACCATCTGGCTGTCTGTGTGTTTTACAATTTGCCACCTCCTCCAGTAGACGAACCTAATTAGACTTTAGGAATTATTTGGACAAATTTTAATTCAGATTATTTAAAATTCTATTAATCCTAGAATACAATGTGGGTTACAGCATACAATGCTAAAGTGAGTAATTATTACCAAATTCTAACAATCCCCCTTTTGACATAATTATGTCAAAAGGGGGAATGTCAGTCCTGTATTGTGTCTCAATGCCTTGCAGCGGGCACGTCAATAGGACCTCAAACTGCCGGTGACCCATGCAATGTGCTAAAACATAACCAGGTAGGAGATTTTCCGTATCCCCCTTTTGATGTAACCGTATTTTCCCAACCAAGAAGCGCACCTCAGTGTAAGCCACCGATGTCTCCTGAACTAACCAGTCTCTGAAAGGTGACTGTAGCATAAATGTAAAAGTCCTGTTCTAACAAAACAGAAAAAATGATAGATTGGGTCATTCAACTTCTTCAGTGTCAGCTCAGTTGAGCTTCTTCACACACTGGTACTCTTCCGTGTTGATATCAGTGTTCATCCTTGGGTGATGCTGACTCTTGTGCTGTGGTGACCCCTTCACACTATCTTCCAGGGTTGTAGGGACTATGTCAAACCCCCTGGACTCACCACAGGGATTAAGTTGGTTCTCATGATGAATGTGTCCAAAACGAACAGCTCCTCGTCCGATGACAATTCTTCCTGGGCGGTTTAGGTGGCAACCTGCCAATCAGTTCTTTATTAGACATTCAAGCATCCATCCTGCCAGGTTGATTTTGACCACAATGTCGGTTGTGCCTACTGATTGCCTGTATTAAATTAAAATTAAACAATAGCGCCCCATATTTGGGAAAAGACGGCAATTCTAACCTGTCAAACAAATAAAATCACATGATATAGTGGATATGTAAGCAAATGTGAGTTGCATTATGTAGCCTATATGTATCCATGATCTTTTTGCCTTTTTGTGAGCAGTATATGTGACATTCTAAAATTAAGCATAAATAGTAAAATTAAAAAGATAACATAAAACATAAATAATCAAATTAAATATGATAAATGACAATTTTGAGTATATATGAGAAGTGATAAAATAAAAGCAGAAATGCTAATCAATAAGCAGAGAAATTACAGGTGGTAGAAATCTTAGAATAACACAAAAACAAACATAAATCTTGAAATGAATGATAACACAGTAAAAGAAGGAAAGGAGCACACTATGAATATCACATCTTTACCTGTGTGCAGACTATATGGCATGTGGTAAGCTAAGCGAAGTCAGTGTGTCTATAGGGGTTCAGGGATAAAATCAGCGGTCTTCGTCTTCATCATCATCTGGGTAATATTCACCTCCTCTCCGGACTCAGAGAGGGGGACCAGTGGCACAGTTTCACCTGCGAGTTTCAAAAGTAAAATTGAACACACAAAATTTTTGGAAAAACACAAACACACCAGCTCATTCATCCAAAAGAAGACAGAGACAGTATATTTACAAGATAACATACAGTATTTTATAAATACAGGTACCCAGGTTCTGAAACCTAGTCTCAAGAATGGAGTAATTTTAAAGTTGTTTTTTTTTCAGTTAGGGTCTTTCCAGTCTGTGGTAAAGTTTCCAGTTTTAGTCACTGACAGTGAGGTTCTCAGATATCTTTAGGAATGCATTAATCCATGGAGTCTTTCCGGAAGGGAAAATGTTCATCCATCCATCCATCCATTGTCCTCCGCTTATCCGGGGTCGGGTCGCGGGGGCAGCAGCCGGAGCAGGGAAATCCAGACTTCCCTCTCCCCGGCCACTTCAGGAAGCTCCTCCGGGGGGATCCCGAGGCGTTCCCAGGCCAGCCGGGACACATAGTCCCTCCAGCGGGTCCTGGGTCTTCTTCTGGGCCTTCTCCTGGTGGGACGAGCCCGGAACACCTCCCCAGGGAGGCGACCAGGAGGCATCCTGATCAGATGCCCGAGCCACCTCAAATGGCTCCTCTCCACGTGGAGGAGCAGCGGCTCTACTCCGAGCCCCTCCCGGATGGCCGAGCTTCTCACCCTATCTCTAAGGGAGAGCCCAGCCACCCTGCGGAGTAAACTCATTTTGGCCGCTTGTATCCGCGATCTCGTTCTTTCGGTCACTACCCAAAGCTCGTGACCATAGACGAGGGTGGGAACGTAGATCGACCGATAAATTGAGAGCTTCGCCTTTAGGCTCAGCTCTCTCTTCATCACGACAGACCGGTACAGCGCCCGCATTACTGCAGACGCCGCACCGATCCGCCTATCGATCTCATGCTCCCTACCCCCGTTCGCGAACAAAACCCCGAGATACTTGATCTCCTCCACTTGGGGAAGGACGTCCGCTCCGACCCGGAGAAGGCACTCTACCCTTTTCCGGTGAGAGACCATGGTCTCGGACTTGGAGGCACTGATCCTCATCCCAGCCGCTTCGCACTCGGCTGCGAACCGCTCCAGCGAGAGCTGTAGGTCCCGACTTGATGGAGCCAACAGGACCACATAAACTGCAAAAAGCAGAGATGCGATCCTTAGGCCACCAAGACTGACACCCTCAACACCTCGGCTGCGCCTAGAAATCCTGTCCATAAAAGTTATGAACAGGACCGGAGACATAGGGCAACCTTGGCGGAGTCCAACTCCCACCGGAAACGAGTCCGACTTACTACCGGCAATGCGAGAGAGTCAGAGTCTGGTCTGCGAAAATGTATATAGTATATACTACTATATGTAGTATAGGGCCTCCAACTGTGGTAGAAGGCAATAGTGGCATTTGATGACGCACCCTGCGTTTATCGGAGGATAAATTAATGTTGCCATTGCCAGAATCATTAATGTAGCACATGCGGTCTGGGTTGTTACTATGAGTTGGTGTTTCAAGAGTCTCAGTCACAGAATTCTCAACCTGAGAGCGTGTTATCAGGGAAGTTTGTTCTGTGCTGTCAGTGTGATCAGATGAAATAGTCTGATCATCAAATGAAATTGCTGAGCAGTTTCCTTCAGGTAATGCTCAGCTCGCTTTTGGGAGATGGACTCTCCTGTGAGCGGTGCTGTATGGAGCAAACAATTCTTTATTACCAGTAAAGGCTCCATCATGGTGTTGACTTTTGTTCTGGCTGGGGGTGCAGAGGTTGTGTGGTTACAAGTGTGTGCGGTTCAGTGGGGGAAGTCTGATGTTCATGTGCTTCATAGTGATGAGGGTGGGAGGTTGAGGGTCTGTTCAGCTTCTTTACAGTCAGGCACTGTGGATGTTCGTGTCTCAGGAGGAGGCAAGGTCGTAAATAACGATTGCTGTGTGGTTTACACAGAGGACAATGAGCGTGTTGAGAATTTGACTTAGTTAAGAAAACTTTGACAATCAACCAAGAACTTCTCTGCCTTCCTTATCACCTTACTTATCTTCCCATTCTGCAGAAGGCCTGCTCCATTTTGTGGTTACTTCTAAAGTGGATGAGGCCTGCTTCATAAATGTGGGAAAATCACTCAACTTAGGAGGGATGCTGTCCCAGGCACCAAAGAGCCCTTTCTGTTGCATTCCTTTTGTCCATTCCATAGTTCTTTCTACACCTTTCTTTATGTCAGTCGTTGGAACCTTTTTCAGCCATCTTTTTAGTGTTTCGGCCAATACTGCCCCCAAGGAAGCGGATTTATAAACCTTCCATTTTTCAACAGTTTTCTGTGACTTTAACAGAAAAGTTTAGTTCTAGAAGGAATAAGACAATCAGTAATTTACATAGATCATGTCATAGCATACAAAAGTGAGTAATTATAGCCACTGTGACGTCCCTGGCACTGGAGCTGGCCCGTCCACCTTCTACACTCTTGATCAGCCTTCACTATTCTGCAATCAACCGTTATTGGTACCACCTGTCATCACCTGCATTTAAGTTCCGTCCCAGCCAGCCTCCAGTGCCAGAACGTCTCGAGCCAACCGGTGAGAACTTCCAGCGTTTATTCTGTTTACCTGCCTGCCTGTCTGTTACCCGACCTGTCGCTGCCCTTGTTTTCCGAGCCTGCCTAATCCCTCTCTGATTTGTCTGCCTGCCTGAGACCTGCCCCGTCAGCATCTGCACCCTGGATTGCCCACCCGTGTTCTGACCCTGCCTGCCTGTGAGTACGAGAGCCTGCCTGCCCCCCTTGGACTGTCTTGCATGTGGATTTGGACTTGGAACTGGACCTGGACCCCCTTCTGGATTTCCCCCTGGAACTGTCGCTGGATCTATTGGCCTCCTCGTGACCTGACTCGGACTCCCCTGGATTACGCTCCTGGATTACCCCACGCTTCGTCCCTCCTTAAACTAACCTTGCTGAACTGTCACTGACCTGTTTCAGGTTGTCTTTGGGTCCGACCTCTGTTCATTACAGCTACATTCTAACAGTATTTAGCGGATGCTTTTATCCAAAGCAACTTACAAAGTAGGGGTGCACCAAGAGTTGATCTGGGGACCTCTTGATCTGCAGTCAAATGCTCTACCACTCAACTACCCCATCCTAACTAACACATTTGTGGACGTTTTGCCTGACTGGAGGTTAAACATTTCTGTCTCTTAAATAAAAAAGAATCATACAGTAGTTTCATGTCTCTCTTTAATAATCATTTAATTTCCCTTCTGTTATTCCTCAATCATCAAGTTACTACCTGTACTCATGACTCAAGTGGATCCACTCCATCCCAGTATCAACACTCATGGTTATCTTTGCTTCTGGAGAGATTTAGTCCTCTGCTTCAAGTTTGTGTTCTTACAAACTTCCTTAGATTTCCTGCCTTTGCAGCTTTAATAGTCACTTTCATGTCTGGTCCTTTCTCTCGTCATGGGCGGTGAATACAACTTACTTTTTAGAGGGAAAAAAGGTCAAAATGGGACTTTAAAAACAAACAGCTATGCTCATCTGAGCTAAACTCACACCTTGGGCCTTTTGCCACCAACTAGAAAATCAAATGTAGTAATTTGTGGCTCCATGCCATCAGCTTGAAATGTAGAGGTGGAGAGTCAAGCACGTGCGAATTGGATAATGGTATAAGGATATGGTAATTTAGCAGACTGCAACTAGTGTACTAATAAGGATGTATAAGGATTTAATCATGGCAAACGCTACTGACAACAGGTCAATGCTTACCCATCTTTTTATTTAAGAAGAATGAAGCCAAAAGTCAAAATCATACATCAACATTTGCTCCCAGCTTTCCTTGCTCACATACCCAAGTGTCCTTGGGCAAAAGTATTGTGACATTTTGTTTGAGTGGGTGATGGCCTATCATGTAAAAGTGTTTTCAGTGCCTAACCATCCCAGAAAAGTGCTAAAAGAGTGTAAAATCATTTTCATATTTTGGCAGAAAAAATCAATTCCCAATCATCCGTTGAAGAGCAAGATTGCATGAATGAGTTTGACTGGCCGATACACAGGCATTTTCATGGACTACTCTCACTTGCTGCATTTTACACCAGGACCCCATGATGCACTGAAATGCTGCAATCATCCTGAGTCTGTTCTCAGTAATTAAAAATGTCTGCCTATCTAAATCCAGTACTTGGATTAATGACCAGCTATGGATCATACAGTCACAAAACTGACTCTTTTTAAATAAATGCTATCACAAAGGGCATGTATTGATTTATATCACAAGCACTCAACCACTTACTTCATTATAAGCACCAGGAAATTGACGTTCTTTCAGAAATAAAACATCTAAGGGGTCAGTTTCCAAATCTCAGCTTGTATTTGCCAAGTCCATGAACTGCCATAGCAGCAACTGAAAAAACAACCCCCCAAAAGCAGAACCACCTGTAGTGTACCTATTAACAAATAAGACTTTATGTGTAAAGGTAATTAAGTTCTGACACAAAAGCATCCCCATCATTTTAAGGATGTGAATCCTCAAAAAGCTCTGCTTCCTGTTGATTCTAAATGAAGTGGCTCCAGATTTAGCATGTGTGTGTCATTATGAAGCATCTGTTCGACAAACAAAAAAAAAAAAAAGAAAAAGAAAGGGAGGAGCAGCAATGCTTTTCCTGGGTGTAATCCATCAACACTTGTCATGAGTACTGTGCATCATGTGAGGTGAGTGTGTGCGTTGATTTCCTGGTGTTGGCGAGTGCCTCAGAAGTGATTAGGGAGTGTTTTCTGCCGTCAGACATGTCATGAAGTAGGGATGTCAAATGAAGCTCCTTCACACGCACACACACTTAACACACTCCAACACAGTTTGACCCCTGTCTGTTGTCATCCGAATAGGTTACTAATTAAGAAGAAAGCCACCCTCACTTAAACATACACATACACACTGATAGCTTGTCGCTTGTCTCCCCGCGCAGGAGTCTCATAGGGGAGCGTAATGTGCAAGTGTGTGTCGGTGGGTTGTTGTATGACAATATCTGCTCAGCTGTCAGGGACATGTTTCTTGCAGTGATGAATTGAACAGATGATTTACCTCACTTGATGATGAGTTGCAAAAGAAAAAGAAATTGAACTGGTGCAGACATGATTGACAGTGCACAATTAAGTTAGAATATGGCAGAACAATTATTTTTCTGTCAATATAAAAGAAACGCACCACAAAGTGTTTAGCATGGTTGTTGTTGCTCTAAAATGTAATAACTGATAATCAAATGCACAGAGCTTATTGTACAAACAGGAACTTATCCCTCTAGCTTATATTTTATGTATGGTATATAATGGTATAGTTTACTTCAAAGAACCAAAAAAAAAAAGGGTAGATTTACGCAATAAATCTCTGCCCGGATCTCTAAAATAATTTCCAAACCCTGGGAAAAATGGCACTGCATGGCTGGTATTATAGAAGTGGAGTGTGGTTAATGTGTCTTTCAAACAACGATTCTGTCTTATCCTGAATTGAACCAAATGTGGAACTTAAATGTTGCAATATTGTCATAGCCAGATGACTGTTGAAAATAGCTCACATGACAGAAAAAAGTATGTTTCAATGCTTATTATTTTCCACGCATGTTTTACTTTGTCTGACAGTGCCTTCTGCCATCTGAGCTTTAAATACCCTAGCGATAGAGAGCACAAATGAATCCGATGGTGATTATGCACGACTCCAGGCAAGGATATCCAAAATCACAGTTGTTTAATCTGGAAATGGTCAGTACACGGGCAGGCAACAGTAATAAGGCAGAGGTACAAACAAACACGCAACGAACAAGAGACAGACTTGAGTTTATATACACACACAAGACAGGGGAGGAAACATGTTAATAAATTGTTACTCCATTGTGCCACAATGTATACAAAGTATATAGTCTTCGAATATGCTGTGAGAAACTATGTATTTCATATATTTCATATACAGGGGTTGGACAATGAAACTGAAACACCTCGTTTTAGACCACAATAATTTATTAGTATGGTGTAGGGCCTCCTTTTGCGGCTAATACAGCGTTAATTCGTCTTGGGAATGACATATACAAGTCCTGCACAGTGGTCAGAGGGATTTTAAACCATTCTTCTTGCAGGATAGTGACCAGGTCACGACGTGATGCTGGTGGAGGAAAATGTTTCCTGACTAGCTCCTGCAAAACACCTCAAAGTGGCTCAATAATATTTAGATCCGGTGACTGTGCAGGCTATGGGAGATGTTCAACTTCACTTTCAAGTTAATCAAACCAATCTTTCACCAGTCTTGCTGTGTGTATTGGTGCATTGTCATCCTGATACACGGCACCTCCTTCAGGATACAATGTTTGAACCATTGGATGCACATGGTCCGCCAGAATGGTTCGGTAGTCCTTGGCAGTGACGCACCCATCTAGCACAAGTATGGGGCCATGATATGGCAGCCCAAACCATCCCTGATCCACCCCCATGCTTCACTGTGGGCATGCAACAGTCTGGGTGGTAAGCTTTTTTGGGGCTTCTCCACACCGTAACTCTCCTGGATGTGGGGAAAACAGTAAAGGCAGACTCATCAGAGAACAATAAATGTTTCACATTGTCCACATCCCAAGATTTGCGCTCCTTGCACCATTGAAACCGACGTTTGGCATTGGTAGAGTGACCAAAGGTTTGGCTATAGCAGCCCGGCCGTGTATACTGACCCTGTGGAGCTCCCGACGGACAGTTTTGGCGGAAACAGGAGAGTTGAGGTGCATATTTGAATTTGCCGTGATTTGGGGAGCCATGGTTTTATGTGTTTTGGATACAATTCGGGTTAGCACCCGAACATCCCTTTCAGACGGCTTCCTCTTGCGTCCACCGTTAATCCTGTTGGATGTGGTTCGTCCTTCTTGGTGGTATGCTGACATTACACTGGATACTGTGGCTCTTGAAATATCACAAAGACTTGCTGTCTTGGTCACAGATGCGCCAGCAAGACGTGCACCAACAATTTGTCCTCTTTTGAACTCTGCTATGTCACCCATAATGCTGTGTGCATTGCAATATTTTGAGCAAAACTGTGCTCTTACCCTGCTAATTGGACCTTCACAGTCTGCTCTTATTGGTTCAAAGTGCAATTAATGAAGATTGGTCACCAGGCTGGTCCAATTTAGCCATGAAACCTCCCACACTAAAATGAGAGGTGTTTCAGTTTCATTGTCCAACCCCTGTATGCCCGAGGGACCTTCTTTTCTCGAATAAAGCACATTAATTTCTCCTCAGCTAATTTCATTAGAATTGTTTGTAAAAAAAAAAGAGACCTAAGTAATACAAATCCCTCCAATGAGAGAGCACAAAGAAAAAGATTTAGGAATACCCTGACTCCCACCCCACCTCTTTCCCACATTCTGCCAGCAAATTAACATTTTCATAGAGATATCATAAATTGTTGCACAGCTATTCTGAAGCTCCTTGTGGGCATACATAAGGAGAAGATGAAGGAGGAGACTCTAACTTTGAGTGGAAGTGAAGCAAATTAGACTGAATTAGAACTGCCAAGAGTAAATTAGCCTAATCCATATTGTTAAAGTGCAGGTCCATCTCTCCATGGACTGATAACTCCCATGAGATCACATACTTTTTAAAACTGAAAAATCAACTGAGATTTGTAAGCCAAGTGATTTATGCTTGACATTTTGAAGTCCAGTATGACTTCTACTCTCCCATATTCTGCTGGACAATCAGAGAGTAGTCATAACAGGCTTAAAATATACAATATTTCTGCTGGGTCATATGATTAGAGGGACTTGAATATGTCATGTATATATGTCATTAGTTGTGATGTGTTGCTGGAGGAAATTTTACTTTGTTTGAATCAGCTCCATTGAGAGTGACTGAATAGCCATCATTTTAGATGTAAATCTTTCAATTTAAACAAAAGTTCTAAGTTAACAGATTTTAAAAGACTCAAATTATAGTTCAAAAGTGATAGTTCTCTGCACATACACTGGCACAGTTGGTAAGACTTGACTCATTATTGACCGAACCACTTTTAATGACCTCCCACAGTTCTGTTTTGTCACACAGTATCTGCCATAACCTGCTAAATAGACCAGCTTTGGACTAAAATCTTACCATAGTTGTCTTTGGTCTCATTGTGCAAGAAAAGAAGCTCACAATAGTTTTCCTCATAAACTTACCCACAGCCATATTACTTGGCCCTGAGAATTTAATGTGGATGGCCAATCATTTTGATCATCAGATAATTGAGCAAAACAAATGATGGCCCAAAATGTTTGTAGTGTAAATCTTCCTGTATGATTGCTGTGGAAAGCTATGATAGAAGCTATGCTACGGTGCTGCTGATGAATCAGCTCCCACTAAGATTATCCGCCTACATAACAATAACAAGCTGACCGTACCAAAACTAAGATGCTCATTTTTAGCAGGTGTGTTCTTGACTACTTTCATTAGGGAAAACATGAAAAAATATTTAGAAGTTGTTAATCAAATTAGAATAGTTCTAAAATATCTATCAGAGGGAGATTTGTTTTTGTATGAACTAATACTTAGTGCAGGAGTCGCTAGCTT